CAGAGTCTCTCATGAGGTTGTCGTAAAGCTACTGGCCAGGATTGCAGTCATCGGAAGGCTGGGCTGGGGCTGCAGATTCTGTTTCCAAGTTCACTAATGCAGCTGCTGAGAGAGGCCTCAGTTCCTTGCTGCCTGGTGGCCATGAGCTTCAGTTCTTCACTGTATGGGCCTTGGCATTGGACTGTTCATGAAAGAGAGACTGGCTTTCCTCAGGACAAGTGATCAAAGAGAGAATAAGAGAGAGAGACAGAGACAGAGAGACAGAAAGAGAGAGATCACAATGTCTTTCATAACTTAATCTAGGAAGCAACATATCATCACTCTGTCATTTTCTCTTGGCCACACCGACCAACCCTGATGCCATCTGTGAAGGGACTACCCAAGGATAATACCAGCAAGTGGGGATCATTGGGGGCCATTTGTATGCTGGTTATAATCTTGAAATCACAATCTTAAAGTCATATGGTATAAGTCATTTAACTTGGTTTTTCTTTTTCAGGATAGTTTTGGCAACTGTAGAGCCTTTGCATTTTCATATAAATTTTAGAATAAGCTTATTGATTTCTAAAAAGTATCCTGCTGGAATTTTCACTGGGAATGGCATTGAATCTATAATCAATTTGGGGAGTGCTAACTTCTCATCAATTTTGAGTCTTCAAGTATGTGAATATGGTATTTCTATTTATTTAGGTCTTTAATTTCTCTTAGCGATATTTTTTCATTTTCAATGTAGAGGGATTGCACATCTTTCATTAATTTATTTCTAAGTATTTTATGTTTTCTGACACTATTTTAACGAAATTTAAAAAATATTTTCTACCGATTGCTGGTAATATAGAGTAACAAGATTGATTTTTTTGTGCCTGCCTTATATTCTGCAACTTTGCTAAATTCAATATTTGTCCTAGTAGTTACTCTATAGATTCTTTAAGACTTTCTGTGTAAGCAATAAAATACACTAAAACTAGTCTTCATCTTTTCTGATATTTATTTTTTTCAATTCTTTTTCTTGCCTTCTAGTACTGTCTAGAGCAGGGGTCAAAAAAGATTTTCTGTAGAGGGCCTGGTAGTAAATATTTTAGGTTTTGCAGGCCATATGGTCACAACTACTCAACTCTGCTGTTGTAGCCCCAGAGCAGCCTTAGGCAATATGTAAATGAATGTATGTGACTGTGTTCCGATAAAATATTATTTCCAAAAATGGGTGACCAGGCTGGATTTTGTCCATTAGCCTTGTTTAAAGGTATTAAGGTCATCAAAGTTAAGGAAAGACTAAGGAATTGTTTTACACTGAAGGTGATAGAAGAGACATGACAATTCAATGTAGCATGTGATCGTAAGTCAGATCCTTTTGCTATAATGGACACCACTGAGATAACTGGTAGAACTAGAGTGGGTCTGAGGATTAGGTGATAGTGGTGTCAATGTTAATTTTCTGATTTTTATGGTTGTGTTATGATCCATGTCTTTGTGTAGAGGAGAATTGTACTCAAATATCAAAGGTGATGGGGCATTATGTTGGCCGCTCACTTTCAAGTGGTTCATTAAAAAAGTTCTTTGTGCTATTCTTGCAAAACAAAAACTTATTACTGGGCCACGTAGTGTAAAGAGCAATTGTAGATCTTTGGCAAACAAGAAAGATAAAGCCAGAAAACTGTGAGAATATCTAAACGCCCTCATGTGAGGTTTGGGTTCTGGGTGGAGAGCTGGGCATTGCCTATACTCTCATATACTTAAATATATATTTACCCTTAAATCACTTAGTCAAGATAGCTCAGTAACCTTGCTATGTATTACTAGATATCCTGACCCTTTAAGGTGAATTACGAGTAGTCTCAAATAAGGTCAAATAAATAGAACCTTGAATTGGTTAAAGTTGCTTTTATATATAATACATCATTGCATCCCCACAATGACCAGGAAGAATTATTAACCCACTTTTACAGATGAGAAACCCAAGGTTATTAAAGGCAGAGAAGCCACTGTCTGGACCCAAACCAGGACTCTGAAGGGACACTCGGCCCTTTCCATTAATCACTACTGACCCAGTTTTTGCCCAATATCTACTGCTTTGGGTAAATTACCTAAAACAATACTATCTCTAAGAATCAGAAGGGACCTTAAAAGTTGTATAGTTCAACTTCCAGTCAGAGAGTTTAGGGCCCACATATGTGCATTATGTAGTGTAAAATGTATACTTTATAAAGACTATTTCCTTCTCTGGTAATAATAACCTGCTGTGGAGATATAATGAGTCAAATTGTGGGAAAGACCTCTGAAAACTCTTAAGTTCCAGACTAGAGTAACATAGTATTATTTAGCTCTCCAATTTAGCTATACTTCTATTTACTTTTTTTTTTTTTTTTTTTTTTTTGAGACATCAGTAGTTTAATGGATGGGGGAGCTTACACGTCTGAAAGCAAGGTCCTGGAGCAACACCCCACCGTGTGCGGTACACAGTGGGCAGGACATGGTGGCAGTCTTTGCTAAGGTTGGGGGAGGAGGGAGATTACCAGTTATAGGGGAACTGAGGTCTGTAGATTCATTAGTTACCAGGGAAATCAGTAGAGGCACACCCCCTCACCACCCCTTTGATAAAAACAATCACCAGCTGGGGCCCGGAGCAAGTACGTAGGAAGGTCAGTCATGCGTGTAAGATATGAGTGAAGCAGGCACTGGTTGGGCAGGGTATGGGCAGAGAGCAAGAGAACAGCCATCCTGAGTGACCTGACCATACAGTCCACTCCTACACACTCTGCACGACCCTTACCATCTTGGTCCATGCCTCTTCCGTGATATCCCTGGGGTCAGGTCTATTTACTTCTTGAGAGCACTTACATGGGTTTCTCCTAATCCCCTATTCTTTGCCCTTAATAATCCCTTTATTAAATCCTCATTTTGATTTTTTTATTGTGGTAAAAAATATGTAATACGAAGTTCACCATTTTTAAGTTTGGTGGCATAAGTACATCCACATTGTTGTGCAACCATCACCACTATCTATCTCCAGAACTTTCTCCTCTTCCCTAACTGAAACTCTGTGCCCATTAAACAATAATTCTCCATTATTCCTCCTTCCCCCGCCCCCCCACCCCTGGCAATCACCATACTACTTTTCGTCGCTGTGAATCGAGCTCATCTAGATATCTCATATGAGTGGAATCATACAATATTTGTGCTTCTGTGACTGACTTATTTTACTTTGCATGATGTCTTCAAGGTTAATCCATGTTGTAGCATGTGTCAGAATTGTCTTCCGTTTTGAATGTGGATAATATTACATTATGTATATATAACACATTTTGTTTATCCATTCATCCATCGTTGGACTTTTGGGTTGTTTCACCTTTTGGCTATTGTGAATAATGCTGCTATGAACATGTGTAAACAAATATTTGTTAGAGTCCCTTTTTTGATTCTTTTGGATATATACCCAGAAATGGAATCATTGTATCATATGGTAATTCTACCTATAATTTTTTAAGGATACATCATACAATTTCCCATTGTAGCTACAACATTTTACATTCCCACCAAGGGTGCAAAGGGGTTCCAATTTCTCCTCATTCTCACCAATATTTGTTGCTTTCTGGGATTTTTTCTGTTTGTTTTTTGGTAATAGCCATCCCAATGGGTGTCTCATTTTGATTTTTAAATATCTACTCTTATGGGTTGAATTGTGTAATCTCAACAAAGATATGTTGAAGTCCTTACCCCTGGCACCCCAAAATGTGATCTTATATGGAAATAGGGTCATTGCAGGTGCAATGTTAAGATGAGGTTGTACTCTAGTAGGATGGGTCCCTAATCCAATATGATTGGTTCCCTTATAAGCAAATGGCCCTGTGAAGACACACAGAACACCGCTCAATGACAAAGGCAGAGATTGGAGTTGTGTAGCTGCAAACCAAGAAATGCCAAAGACTGCCAGCAAACCACCAGAAGCTAGAATGAAGCAAGGAAGGATTCCCCTATAGGTTTCAGAGGGATCATGACCCTGCTGACACCTCAGTTTTCAACTTCTAACCTCCCCAATTATGAGGCAATAAATTTCTGTTTTTCTAAGTCACCCAGTTAATGGTACTTTGTGATGACAGCCTTAGAAACTACTACAGACACCTTGCCTTTGAAGTCCAACTATCATATCCCCTCAGCTCCCCATACCACCTCCCTCTTGGCTCTCATGAAATCTGGTTCTTGGACTGCTCTGTCCTTTCCCTCCTGCCTTCTCCCCAAAACTTGTGCTCAAAAATTCATTCAATAAATATGTATGGGGCTTCCCTGGTGGCACAGTGGTTGAGAGTCCGCCTGCCGATGCAGGGGACATGGGTTCATGCCCTGGTGCGGGAAGATCCCACATGCCGTCGAGTGACTGGGCCCCTGAGCCGTGGCCACTGAGCCTGCACATACATAGCACAACGGGAGAGGCCACAACAGTGAGAGGCCCGCTTACCGCTAATAAATAAATAAATAAATAAATAGATAGATAGATAGATAGATACGTATGGAGGCCCTATTCTTTGGCAGGAACTGTTCTAGGGGCTGGATATATGGTAACATTTTTAAAGACTGTTTTTTCCCTCTTAGCAATCATGCAAAGTTTTGGCTGCTTTTCTTACTAGTTCTCCTAAATTGTTAGTAAATTTCAAGAGAATATTTCATATTTCCACCATTTTTCTGTCCTCTTTTCAGAACTCTAAAAAATATCTTCCTTCACTTTCAGTCCAGGTTTAGAACTTTCACACATAAAATGGCACTTTTAATTTCATAGCTACATTTCATCAGATGGAAATTACAGCATGTTAGAATTATGGAAATAGGATCTATTATAACTCACATGTTTTCCTCAAACATGATGTGCTATGATTTTATGCAGGCTTTGATTAGTATTCATGTGAACAAAATTGAATGTTTTATAAAATAGATATTATTAATATTTATTTCCCTTTTTATCTCCCTTGCTAGCTGCTAATTAAAGGTCAGGTGGTCTTCTGCTCCCAGATTAAAAGACAGAAAACTCACTGACTGATTACCTGTCCTTTTGGTGATGCAGCAGTGAAAAAAATTGGGCTTGAGGGACAGGGTTGGGGATGAAGCATGCAGAAATAGCTTGAGATTCACAGATCCAGGTGGTCTGCTTTTCCTGCTGTTTCTCTTACACAGTTTGAGTTCCTCTGGAATTGGAACAGTAAGATAAGATAAGGAAACAGTGAAAAGTCGAACTATTGAGAAGGAACTTGCTGTAGACTGAAAGGTTTTGTCCCCACTAAAATTTATATCTTGAAATTTAATTCCCAGTGTGATGGCATTTGGAGGTGGGGCCTTTGGGAGGTGATTAGGTCGTGAGGGTGGAGCCTTCATGAATGAAATTCCAGTAGTGCCTTTATAATAGAGACCCCAGAGAACTCCCTTGCCCCTTCTGCCAGGTGAGACACAAGGAAAAGACAGCTGTCTGTGAACAAGAAAGTGGGTCCTCACCAGACACTGATTTGGCCAGACCCTTAATCTTGGACTTCCCAGCCTCCAGAACTGTGAGAAACAAATATTAATTGTTATAAGCCACCCAGTCTATGGCATTCTGTTATAGCAGCCCAAATGACTAAGACAGAACAGTTCTGGGAGACAAGCAGAACTCTACCTTAGACACTAAGCCAAATCACCTGGTAAGAAGTAAATGCACCTAGAATTATGTTCAACAAAAGCACTTATCAAAATTTCTATCAATACATGGTTGAATCAATAATTTCATAATGACTATTTTCAATAGGTCAAGGCAGTTCAAAGTTAAAATAGTTTTCAAACTACTTTTAACTTTTTTTTTTTTTTTAAGGTATGAGGGTCTCTCACTATTGTGGCCTCTCCCGTTGCGGAGCACAGGCTCCGGATGCGCAGGCTCAGTGGCCATGGCTCACGGGCCCAGCTGCTCCGCGGCATGTGGGATCTTCCCGGACCAGGGCACGAACCCGTGCCCCCTGCATCGGCAGGCGGGCTCTCAACCACTGCGCCACCAGGGAAACCCCTACTTCTAACTTTTGATGTTATCTTTTTTTAAAAAAAAAAGGAAGGAAGGAAGGAAGAATGGGAGCGAGGAAGGGAGAAAAAGAAGGAAGAAGGGAAGGAGAAAAAGATATGTAAAATTTCCATTCTTTAATGCTTCAAGTGTAGCTGCAAAGCAAAACTCATTTGTCCTCTGTAACTAACAATAGATGCCTCACCTCCATATTTTCTGATGAACAAAAGCATCACTGAGGCTGTGTGTTCTGGGACATATTTGGATAACAGCAACTTTCCTTGAGACACAGCAAAGACTTTAACGCTAGAAGAAGAGAGTGTCAGAACTGTAATATTTTTGGTTCACTTGCTAAGCAGAATCGATTACCCAGCCACTGCAGGGCACTCCTATCAAGGCAAGGGTGAAGCACGAGAAGATTTAGACCCAGTGTTCTCCCTAAAGTGCCTGAGACCTGAGTAAGGCAGCGGGGTTCACGTTTGGGCAGACGGAAGGTGAAAGCAGAGCCTCGAAAGGACTGGATCTGTGACTTTGAACTTCTACTTCCCTGGCCCACTGGGATGAGTCCCTCAGCTGGACTGAGGCTTTCCTTCCTCTCATAAAGGGAAGGTTATAGTTCCAGCCCATGAGGGTCACGTGTATCTCACACAAGTTAGAAATCTGCCCTCTATTTCTTTCCTTACCCCGTCCCTCCCTCACGTCCACTGCTCATCTTTTCCATCTGGGCATGAATATACCCCCTCCTCCTCTTCAGAGCAGATTTGGAAGTGGATAGCAGGGAACATACATGGATTTGGGGGTCAGACAGAGAGGGAGAGAGAGAGATGATCTCTCTTGACCACTTATGACTTGTCTGACCTTCGGCAAAACACTTGACTTATCCAAGCTCTTGGCTGTAATATGAAGACAATAATAGGACCTGTCTTTGGTTTTGTAAGACTTCAATGAAGTAATATATTTAAAATGCTTGGCACATATGCTCCATAAATAGTGGATATCGTTATGTATTTGGCACAGAGTAAAGGCTCAAAAATGAGAGCTATTATTATGATTTATTCATTTAAAAATGAATTTTGAGATAAGATCATCTCCGTCTATGTAGGGGTACTGCATCATTTTCTTAAGACCCTGTGTCAACCAGCAAACTATTTGTAGCGATTGATAGGTGTCCCCAGGGAATAACCAATCAGAGCCATCACTCTGACCTGGTGTAGGAGTTCCCTCACTGCTGGGAGAACTGGCGTAGGAGGTGAGGGGAAGGCTAACCGGAGCAAGCGAGGCTTCCTGCCTGGAGCAGATGGATCTACAAGATGGCCTCAGGACATTACTAGGCATACTTCTTCGTTCATTCATTCATCAGCTCGTTCATTCAGTAAATATGTATTGAGCACCTACAAGCATTGTTTTGAGATTCTGAGTAGAGCATAAAACAGACATCGGTTTGCCCCATGGATTTTACAATCTAGCTGGAGAGACAGATAATAAACAAGAAGGGAATCCAGTAAACGTATAGTTAACGATTGGTACCTGTGCTGTGATAGAAGAGAATGGGCTATTATGGGAAAATAATAGGAGTGGAAAAATTTAGTTCAGGGGCAGGAGGACATCTCTGAGGACTTGTCCTCTGAGGCTGCAGGAAGAGAAGGTGGTGGCAAGGGGCAAGTGGCCCCCCACTTCTTGCCCTTCAGCCTGTGTGTTGTCCCCACCTTGATCTTCCCTCATCCATCATTAGGCACTGTGCTCGGTGCTAGGAACACAGATGAGGGAGCCAGAATTGCTCTTCTGGGGTGTGAGGGTGGGCAGGAAGGCCAGCAGGTGTTGACAGTAGAGTGCAAGGACAGGTGCGGCTGGGTGCTTTGGGACAGGCCGTCAGAGGGTAGTGGTGATGGAGGGGGAGGGGAGAGGAGGAGGTTGATGCCTTGTTCTCACGCTATGGCCTCTCCCAGTAAGAAGACTGAGCCGTGAAGCCTCATTTGGGGAGACAGTTTAAAGGACAATTACAGTCCAACATTCTCACTTGGCTTGTAAGGGTGGAGACCACAGTTGCCCTCCTAAGGCAGCAGGCATTTCAGAACATATAATTTCATATTTGGAAAACGAAGAGCAATTCTTTTTTTTTTTTTTTTTTTTTTTTTTGCGGTACGCGGGCCTCTCACTGTTGTGGCCTCTCCCGCTGCGGAGCACAGGCTCCGGACGCGCAGGCTCAGGGGCCATGGCTCACGGGCCCAGCCGTTCCGCGGCATGTGGGATCTTCCCAGACCGGGACACGAACCCGCGTCCCCTGCATCAGCAGGCGGACTCTCAACCACTGCGCCACCTGGGAAGCCCACGAAGAGCAATTCTAATCATTGTGTAATAGAGAGTCATCTAATCTCTAAACAAATGTTTACTGAGCAGCTACAATGTGCCAGGCACATCTTCACGGCTGAATATAAAACAGTGAACCAATCAGATAAAAATATTTTCTCTCAAAAGAAACTTGACATGTTCTTCTTGGATGTTACAAAAAAGTATTTGGAGGGATTAAATTAACAAGGCATATGGCCAACACTGAGTGCCCTACAAGGCATTCGGTGCACTGGAATTCTATGCTGAACAGGACAGACGTGGTTTCTGCACATCTGGAAACGTAAAGCCAACGCCAGGATTCCTCAAAATATCCCCTCTGGACAATGAATCACCTGGTATGATTGTTCATGCGGATTCCCAGCACCTCCCCAAACCTGCTATAGAATCTCTTGAGGAGAGATCCAGGAATCTGCATTTTAAATAAGCCTACCCAAATGATTCTTCCACCCACTACAATTTGAGAAGTGCTGGTGTGGGGCTTTTAAGTAGACTTAATTCCTACCATGTGTGCAAATGTGAACATTTTCTGTTTTATTCACCGAAGCGTAACATTGATCTCAATTCTATTGATGCTTTAGGAGAAAGGTTGATTTCGCAGTGACTGTGAGGTAGATCCAACAAGGATGTGAGATTTCTATATTTATCAAAAGGGAGACTGATCCGGTTGAAACCTTCCATACACCTGAGTCAACAGAAACTCACAGACACTAAAAGACTCACCTAAGGTCACATATCACGGCAAGATGGCAGTTGCCCTGACCCTGTGCTGGGACCTTCTGCCACGCCCATAAAATGCACCAGGGTTTGGAGCACTTGGTCCTGACTCCAGGAAAGACTGAGAGAGCTGTGCCCTATTCTCAGCTCTTAGGGATGGACATTTGTACTTCTCCTGTTGGGTGGGCACAGCCCCTACTCCTGGACTCCAGCACAAGTTCCAAGAGATAAGGAGCCAGGAAAGTCCAGATTTCCCCCAGGCTAGGGCTCCTGCTAGCTGTCTCCTCAGCTAGGCTGACCCTGTTAAGGGTGCTGGATGCTTTGAAGTCAAATGGACTTTTAAAAACGGACTTCCTGAAGTGAGGAATAATTATTTTCATATGTGAACCTGCAAAAATGTAGGTAGTGATGCCAATGAACAAATGCAGGTTGAAAAACAAAATTTTCTCACTGCCCAAAGAATTTCAGGATCCTCTCATGTTTTCCATGCATTTCCACAGCAAAAGAGTTTAAGGCAAGGAAAGGCAACCAAGACAGAAGAAATAACAGTTAAAATTTGCTAAAATACAACATGGACCCCAAATGTGTTAACATGTAATGACTCTAAGGGCATTATGCCATCTTAGGTTCTTGGCAACTACATTAGGCTCCTGGAAATTAAAGGGGCATGTGTGTGTGTGTGTGTGTGTGTGTGTGTTACTGTGCTCAAAGGTGAATATTTAATGACTGTGCCTGCATAAATAACATGGAGATTTAAGCTCATCTGATTAATTTAGAATTGTCAGACAATTCAAACCAAACAGTTCTCTCAGGTCTGATTTACCCCAACTGGCTTCCTACACTGATCAAATAAACTCAATTGCTGTCATTTCTCCCTTGTATTCTGTGATAGTTGGGCAGAGCCGGAAGGTACTCTATCCACCTGCATCGTAACAGGATATTAACTTTTATCTGGAAAGTTATTCATTGCTTTACTCTTAGTTACTGTCACCAGATTTGGTCTTTTTGGTTCTGTCTGAGCACCCCATTGGATATCCATAGTTGCAGATGACAGGAAATCAGGTTATTTTTCTACAGTTTTTCCCTGTAATGAAGAACTTTAACTGAAACCCACTCTTCTATTTGAGTAACTTTATAAGATGCCATTTACACATACACGATATCCGTAATTCTCATGTCACTCCTTCCCTTGCAAAGAACACACACACACATACACACACACTCAATTCAAGATACTTCAGTTAGTCTGTGGTCAATTGGGGTAGGTTTCAATTCCCATGATTTACTCAGAACTTTTCAGCCAACCTAACCTAAGTATTGTGTTATAGGAGTTACAAATAGAAATCCTTGTTGCAAATAGAGTGAGGCAGAGAGCAGAAAGGAGTGGGGCTGCCCCAGGGGGAGAAAGCAGTGACTAGTGGGGAGACAGGGTCTAAAAGCAACACTGTCCAGTAGAACTATTTGTGATGATAAAAATGGTCTGTACCTGTGCTGACCAATATGGTAGACACCAGTTACATGTAGCTATTGAACACGTGAAATGTGGCTACTGTAACTGAGAAACTGAACGTTTAATTTTAAGAGCCAAATGTGCTAGTGGCAGTCATGGGTGATAGCACACAGGGAGCCCCTCCTCACTGGTGCCAGCCAGTTGCTGCCATGCATGAGTGCAGACTCAGTGGTGCCAGGTCTTCTGATTTTTCTAGAGAAACTGGAAATCCCAAGTTTTATGGGAACATCTTAATTTTTAAAACAGCAGACCAGTCAAAGCAAATATCTACGGTTCAGTTTTGGCCAAAAGGCATCTAGTTTGCTATTCTAGATCCAATCTCCTCACCCTCTTCTCTCCTGGACTCTACTTCTTTGCTCCTAACAGGAGGATATTTTCACAATCTACCTTCATCGGCCATTCGCAACTTGAGTTTTTTCTCCCAGCCTGTGAAGTTGGAAGAGCCACCGTTTCATATCTCCTTGGACGCTGACCTCCCTCTTCAGAATTCTTTCTTGACTGCATCTCAGAAATGCACCCTCACTAAGAAGAATAGAGCCACTTACTCCTATTACAATTGATCCCTCTTAATACTCCCTGTAGAATCGCCTGTATAGAATTCCCCTAACACCTCTTAGAACATCAAGAATTGTCACTTTGTCTCGTAGTTTTTCTCAGAAGGTAGAGAAAGTGTCTGTGGTGGCTTCTATTCTGTAGAGCAGTATTTCTCAAACTTTTTTTGAACGTAATACATAGTAAGAGATACAGTGTACATTGCAGCTTAGTATACACATTCTGTGTACACACACATTTAGGAAAGTTTCACCAAACTCTATCTGTTGTTACTCTGTGTCATGCGTTCTGATGTTTTCTATTCTCCTCTAACTTTTAGTTTTTTTCAATTTCTTTTAACACTGACCTTAGAGTCCACTAATGGATCCCAGTCCATAGTCTGAAAACATTGCTATGGACAGTCCAGCCCTTGTTCCATAACCAAGAAATATTCAGCGACTAATCTAAATGCTTTTTTTTTATCATTCCATCCAACAGCCCTCAACTTCCTCCTGCCTCCCAATATGCACATCCCATCAGTAGCAGTAAATCAGAGCCCAGCACAAGGGGAATTATTACCTAATATGCTGGGGGGTCTTTGTAGTCTCCACTTAAAGAAGCTCATCAGACTCAGATTGCTCTTCACGGGAAGTGATTTACACTTAAAAAAAAAGAAGAAAAAGACAAAATGATCAAACAACTATTTTCCTTGAACAGTATATTACTTCCCGTGATTCATCAAAATTCTTTCCGTGGGTAAAGGTCACCTTTCATTTATGTATGGCATCTGTGTGTGCTTTGTTGAAAAGGGTGTGGCTCTCAAAACATAAATCAGGCCCTGTGTGTTGATGACAAAACTCACGAAAAGCTACGAGAAGGAAGTGATGGGGTAACACGGTAAAAAGAGGCACAGATGCTGTTAGACATCCCAGAACCATGACTTCAGCCCATCTGCCTTAAAAAGGGAAAGATGAAAATAAAATACCTCAGCAGGATTATAGGACTCCGCATGCATTTGTTATGCATTCTAATACTTTTCCTAAAGAAGTACTCTGAAAAAAAAAGAAAATCGTTTGTGTCTAATGTAAATAGAGTCAAAAATTGATGTTAGTCCTGGAAACACTGAACTGACTCATCAGAAAGTCTTAAAACAAGAAATTCCTGTCCCATTTTTTTCCCTAATGTAGTGGTTAACAGCCTGGATACAGGATCTGATTGTCTGGATTTGAATCCCAACCCTGCTGCTTACCAGACATGTGATTTTGTGCAAGTAACTTACCTCTTGGAGCCACCATTATGAAGAATCCCAGCCCCATCCTCAGAAGGTTGTCCTGGGGATTGAATTAGTTCATATTTGGGAAGCATTGAGCACTAGTTCCTTGTATATGGTAAGTACAATATAAGTACTTGTTAAATAAATTGTCTAAGAGAAGATGAAAACATATCGACTCTTCTGTCCTCCAAATTCAGGGCAGGAGAAATAGACATACATTTAAAAACTGAGACTGAAGAAGTTATGTAACTACTGTCCTGTTTGTTTATCTGTGCACAGATTTGATACCCAAGACGACAAATCTTAAATGCCATCCTCTGTGAAAAATCACAAGCCATTGAGAAAGAAGAAGAAGGAATAATATCTCAGTCCCTAAGCCAAGATGGAAAAGTGAACTGTGTGAAAAACATAAAACAGAGCTGGTTTTGATACTTAAAGGCCAGACAAGGCAGAGAGACCACCCAGTGTCAGCCGAGGAAGAAAGAACTGAGTAAGCTAAAAACCCAGACCCGGGGGAACATCAACCTACCAGACACAATTTGGGGAGGACAATTAAAAGCCGCATGGACAAAATTTGTTTAAAAAAAGTTCCTGGGGTAGAGCTTACAGAAATGAATGATTATATGTGCAAAAGTCAACTGAAAGGGGTAAAATTAAAAACCACAAGAGGGGCCCAGCTAAGTGTGGTCCCAGTGAATCGCCTAGAGAGCTAAGAAATGCATCTCATTGTGAGACGTGCTCTTTAAAATAATAAAAATAGAAATGAAAGAGGGGCTCTGGATTATTGAAAAATACCCTGCAATGCTTTGTTCTTGGTTTCCTAGACATTAGATATGGAAGCTTTATGTGGGTGTGTGCTTGTATACATATGTATGTGTGTGTGTGTACCCACAAAATGCTTCCATATTCAATATATTCATATTCATCCTATGTATACATATATACATTTAAAGAAATATCTCCTTTAAAAAAATTTCTTTATTAAGTGATACTAAGAGGTGAAAAGGTCACCTGGAACCAACTGACTATTGGCATTAAGCTAAACAAAACCCACACCGTGGAAAACAGAGAGATTATTACAAATTTGGGCATAGGGTCTACTCCCCTAAAGACGACTGGTTCAGACAGTTACAGAGATGCTCTGAGACTGAAACAGAGGCCTGGGAGCTTGAGCAGTGAACACCATGGGTCACAGGGAGCACTTTGATGTCAATAGCAGCTTTGTGTAAAGAGAGCAGAGAAAAGGCAGCCTCTCACCATATGGGAGCCCGCTGGTTTCTCGGGCTGCATTATGCCTGGGTCCCATATGTGCAGCTCCCACTGACCACGGCAGCAGCATGGGGCTGGGATTGATGCCGCAGATGGCTTCTGGCCTGTGAAGCTCAACTCTGTACTCAGCGTCAGCTATGGGAAGAAAGGAAGTTTACTTTGAGGCTCACTACTTGCTTTGCTTTTTCTCTCTTCTTTCCCCAGCTTTCCTCCTGGGTCCCTTCAGATCCCCAGATTGCTTCCTTCTTTCCTTTTTTCCTTCCTCCCCTCCTTCTTCCCTTCCTCTTTTCTGTAAACATCTCTTTCCATTTTTGCGGACTCTCTCTCTCTTTCTCTCTCTCGGTCTACTTCTTCAGGCCTCTTAGTGCACTTGCCCCTTTCCAGTCTCCCTCTCCCGTCTCTCGGTCAAGTACTTTCCCCAGAGGCTGCTCACCCTCTCCCAAATGTAGTTTCTGTGAAGCACCAGAATCACCAACTCTGTTGAAAGCAAACAGTTTCAGCCAACAATTTCATTGTCTCTAGGCATTCTGCGGGGGGAAAAAACGGGGCCACCCAATAGTTGGGCTTTAAGTTTCTTTCACAGTCACTTTGAATCCTGTGATTCTTTGGAAGTGTGAAAAGAATTCTCCCAATTTCTGTCTTCCCTGCATCACACACTGATGATGCCAGGCACTATGCTGCCTGCATTCCTTAGCTTGTGGCCCCCTCCATCTTCCAAACCAGTCGAGTCCTGCTCAAGCTGCATCACTCTAACATTCACTTCTGTCATCACATTTCCTTCTCTGACTCTCCTTTGAGGACCCTTGGGATTCTACTGGGTCCACTCGAATAGTCCAGAATAATCTTCCCACCTCAAGATTCTTAACTTCATTGTGGCTGCAATGTTCCTTTGGCCATAAAAGTAACATTACTCACAGGTTCTGAGGATTTGGGTGTGGACATCTTTGAGGGGGTCATTACTCTGCCCACTACAGGGCTCATAAAATGTTTCCATTTCTTTTAAAACCACAAAGAAAAAATCTTTCAGGTAGAGGAAAATGGTTTAACATAGAATATTGATATTTTTTATTGCAACTTACAGGGAGAAATATATATATTGTAACCTATGTGCAAGCACATACAAACACAATTGAAACAAAAGTTTCATCAAGTACGATGAACCCTTACTACAGGTGGTATGTTCTGATAGTTTCTATTTCTTCCTCTTCCTCTGCTTTCTCTTCCTTCCCCTCTTTCCCCTTTTCCCTTTTTTAGTGCTGGCTATCCACTACACTGACTTCACGACTCACAAAGAGGTCATAATCTATAGTTTGAAAAACACTGACCTAGCTTGTAAACTCAAAAGCTTAAAGCTGCTGGGCAAGTAGCATAAATGGAAGGAGAGCGCTGTTTGGGGACCATGGGAAATGGAGGCCCCTTGGAAGGGCACAGTGGCTACTAGGCTCCAACCGATCTTTTCCATGTAGGAATGTAGGTCTCTATTGCTAGAATTTCTGATTGCTCTGATTGTTTCTGTGAAGCTTCCCAATTTAAAGGTTTGGTAAATAATTCTTAAAAATTTTAAACATTTGTCAGCCGAACAAAATGAGTCTTTCATGTGGTATTGGTCTGATTAAGAATTAATTCTCTTCTTTTTCCTCGAAATGAGAATCCAGACTCCCTGCAAACTGATATAGCACAATCCTCTGTCTTCTCATGACCTGGTGGGGAAGCAAAACAGGATCTCAGCTGAAGAAGGGAGTTGAAAGTGATCATTTCTCTTTGAATGAGGCCATGCTGGGTGCCCACTGACTGCCAAGAAGAGCAGAGGGACTCAAGTCATTCCAAGAGCATAGAGTCCTCAAGAAATTGAGTTTACCCTTGACCAATCAGAGGAGAGAGAGAAGCTGAATCAGCACCTTCTTGCTGCTGGTCTTGCCCAACCTTGTCCCTCCGTAATGGCCATTGGGCTCTCTGTCTTTGAAGGTCACCTTATTTAGTTCTCTTACCTAGGCTAGCCAGGCATCCAGGGTTCAAAGAGTTGGTCAATCATTTTAAAACATCTATAAGTAATACACACTTAAATTTCAAACATAAATCCTACTACTGTATAATTAAGAGATTGAATCAGCCTACTTTATATTCAAGGCCTCCAGACTTCATTAGTTTAAACTATGTAAAATTGTCAATATTCAAACATTTAAGAAATATTTTTTTTATTTTGGAAAATTTTCAGATTCATAGAAAAGTTGCAAAATTGTGTAATGACTTTCTGTATATTTTCATTCAGTTTCCCCTAATGTTAACAGGTTACCTAGGCAGGGCACATTTGGCAAACTCCAAAATTAATATTAGTACGTTACTATTAAGTGAACTGCTTTATTTGGAATCAATCATTTTTTTCACTAATCTCCTTTTTCTGTTCCAGGATGCAGTCCAGCATACTCCACTGCATTTAGTTCAACTGAATACCAAGCAATTTTATTCAGTTCCACTTAATACTTTAGGAAAGAGTCTAGCAACCAAAGAAGAAAAACTCTGTTACAATGTAGCCATTAGGCTCTAGGGAGGAGACTCTCTTGGGGATCCCACATCAATAAGCATCCATTGCCAGTGTGAGATGCTAATCTCATCTAGAATCTAGACAGAGCCATCGACTTCTGAGTCTCTGCTCATTGGCCTAACACAGTGCCTGGCATGTGCTAGGTGCCCAATAAACACATGCTGAATATCTCTGGCTTGTCAACATACAAGAATTCCATGCCTGGAAACCCACACAGGGACAGAAGAACCACTTCCTGCCCAGAAATTGCTCTCTGATTAATTTCATTGTCCATCTAGAACTAAAGCTATCTTGAATATTAATGTTTGTGTTAGTTTGCTAGGGCTGCTATAACAAAGTACCACAGACTGGGTGGTTTAAACAACGGAAATTTCTTTTCTCACAGTCCTGGAAGACAGAAGTCTGAGATCACGGTGTCCACAGGGTTGGTTTCATCTGAGGCCTCTCTCCTTGGCTTGCAGATGGCCGTCTTCTCCCTGTGTCTTCACATGGTTTTCCTTCTGTACATGCCTGTGTCCCAAGTTCCTCTTCTTACAAAAATCCCAATCCTAGTGGGTGGGAGCCCACATGAATGACCTCATTTTAACTTATTTACCTCCTCAAAGACCCCATCTCCAAATAAATCACATTCTGAGGTACTGGGAAGTGGGACTTCCACATATGAATTTGGGAAAAACAACTTGGCTTATAACATACCTAAAGTTTAGGGATGAGGAAAAAAGTCAGAGGCAGAACTTTCCTTAATCCAAGTGTCACTCATGTCTAGAGGCCCAGGCTGTTCTCCTCTCTCCTGACTCTTCTGAACACCTTATTGCAGGACTAGACCTGCCTTATTCTATGACAGTGTCCCCTCAACTAGACCAGATCTATAAAACGCCTTCAGCCAGCCCAGTACAATGTTGAAAAGTCTCTAGAAGTTACTTTCTGTATATTTGTTTGAGGGACTAGAGGAAAATAAAGCCCCTTCCCAACAACTCGCAAAGCAAGAGAGTGGGTATGAGGGCCTTGTTGCTGTCAGGGACAAAGGGCAGTGCCTAAAGCTCTTTCATCACTGAAATTCTGGGCTTCGAAGAATGTGGGCGGGCCCAAAGCACATTTTCCTAACGTGTGCCTGTCGGTCTGTGTGTGCCTGCGTGGGAGAGCGTTAGAATTTTTTTTGAAAGCTTATCTCCAAGGCTGTGATCAGCATTTGGAGACTCAAAAATGAAAACAATCACAGTATACAGACGTTACCTGACAAGCAGGAGTCTGAAAGAAAAATTAAAGAACAGGCCAAGGGCACCAGGGGCAGGAATCTGAAGGGTAAGCCTTCAGTGCAGGCATTTTGATAAAGAAAAGCTGCAGGGGAAAAGCATTTCACCAGGAAGAGACCAGGACCAAAATGGGCCCAGGAAAGCTGCCCAGGGATGGGAGGAAAGGGGGAGCGGCCACAAGCGTGCTGTCGGGGCTATCATTACCCCAGAATTATCAGGCACCTGAAACAACAAGGTCAAGAATGTGACCTGAACGATACGTGAAATATTTGTTTAGGAAACCACATGCTGGGAGAAAGACTTAAAAAGGAGTTAAATTGGGGCATTCACCTTTTCTTATTGCAGAATGAAACAGCAAACGTTCAAGCAAAGCCTGTGGGGCTCGGGAAATTCTTTTTATTAACATGCTAAAGAAAACGGATAGGAGACAGGGTGAGGAGAGGGCGAGGCTCTGACCCGGACCGATTTCTTGGTGTGGGACCAGCCGAGGGCAGGGGGAGGAATCTGGGGGACAGGCAGGGCCTCAGCCGTTCCCTGCACAGCCAGCAGCCCAGCCTGCCTAGGCATCCGGATTCCAGGCCTCCAGTCCTCGAAGACAAAGGACCCTTCCCCCCTTGTCAGCCTTCCTGTTCCCGGGGATTGTGTGGCCCGGCCCTTTGATCAAGCTAAGGGGCATTATGTCGGCGGACAACTGCTTTAAGTATGAAGGTTTTAGGGCTGGCTCTCAAGTCTCAGCCCTTAGTGTTCCCAGGCAAGGGGATTATAGCTGGCCTCTTAGGATTTCTGCTTTTCCCCCTGAAGTGACCAGGTCTCTCAACAGGGCTTTCTGACCCTGTCCCACCCTTGGAAACAGAGTGTAGTTAAGAGATGGGCCGGGTGGGTACAGTGCCATCATAAACCCTCCATCTTTAATGTGGTTGTGGCTTAAATGCTCTTTTACAAATTCCCACGATGGAATGAGAATCCAACCGTGGGCAAAGTGAATCTCTGACAAAGATGCATTTGAGGTAATGGACTGGAGCCAAGACCCTTGGTTTCTAGACCTGGCCCTGCAGCTTCCTGACCGAGTCATTTTTAGTCATTCAGTCCCTCAGGGTGTGAGTTTTCTCTCTTTAAAAAAATTCGAAGTTTAAACTTGGCAAGCCCTGGGAGCTAGATTTTAAAACCCTGTGATTCCTTCACTGTTACATATACTCTGTTTGACCCTGCAATGACATAAGTACAGTATAGTTCATTGGCTTCAAGAAATAGGTAAATGGGGCTTCCTTGGTGGCGCAGTGGTTGAGAGTCCGCCTGCCGATGCAGGGGACACGGGTTCGTGTCCTGGTCCGGGAGGATCCCACATGCCGTGGAGCCGCTGGGCCCATGAGCCACGGCCGCTGGGCCTGCGCGTCCGGAGCCTGTGCTCCGCAACAGGTGAGGC